AGAAGGGAAAAACAGCCGAAGAGTTTAAGAAAAAGCGGAAAAGGAGGAGCTATGGGACACCTATGGGGCTTGGAAACTGAAAGTTTTGTGAATTCGACGAACAGCAAAATGCTCCCCTCCTTTATTAGTAGGCTACACGGGTTATTTCACATATCGCTCAGTTTCAGTCGATGAAGAATTTCAAACACCTACCCGCACTGGTTCTGATCGAAATGAGCAAAAGCTTGATACACAACGCGATCCACAACAATCGATTTACGCGGTTCGGCCAGCGCTTTCTTGCGTTCCTCATCTCTTTTCTCCTCCTCCTTCTTCTTTTGCTCGTCTGTCTTCTCGATCTTCTCCGCTGCTCCTTCTGTTGTGGCTTCTAATGAAAAGTAACGAATTTCAGCTTAGAGTTTTTGGCCTGTTATGTACAACAGGACTAAAATCTACTAGAACTTAGATTTGAGACTGAAGAATAGTTTGTAGTGTGACTTAAAAATGATTTCAGTCAAAAGTTCTGAAAATCCCATCATTCCACCCTCCCCCTTCAAAACAATTCAGCAAATTAATGCAAAAGTATGCACCCCCAATCATACCTTACTGAAAACTCACTTCTCCAAATCATATTTTTTCGACCGCTTCAACATTCTGCCAAAAAATGTGGGTTTCTGAAACTATCTGATCTTCAGCCCCGCCAATCCAACACTACCTTTTTATAGCAAATACTTCGAACCGGGATGCCCACGTGCATATACATACTGGATTAGTAAAAAAAGCGGAAATCCTGCCAAGAAAGAACCTTCAAAAACTTGAAATTTACCTTCCGCAGCAACAATCTCGGCAAGTTTCGCTTCTTCACGGCGCTTCTTTTCGGAGTCCTTATCAATCGCACAATGCAATGCTTTATATATGCCAAATGCTAGCGATCGATCCAACATTTCATTGATGCATTCCGCCAAAATCGCCAGCTGTAAAATTCTATATCATGCAAAAAATGGATCAGTAGGCTGAGCGAGCAGAAAACATGAACGCCTATCGAAATAAGAACATAAATGCTTAGAAAAAGTCATTGTCTCTTTATGTACCAGAACTGATCTTCATAAAGGTCGTTTGGAATAACGATGCATATTTACGAGATAGAGCCAAAAAACGAAGGGGAAACATACTTCATTTATGAACCTCTTTTCCTAATGATCAAAATTTACAAATACTACAATTACAGTAGAAAATGCTATTTCAGCAATCTCAATTAATTCGCTGAGAACTAAAAACCGAGATGACGTACACCAATTTTTAATGATACCCGCCCCGGAAAAAAACCGAGGATCCCCTCGGGCAACCTCATAACCTCTAAATGAACAGCAAAAATACATGCTCGAGAGACCCAAAGCGTACGGAACGGCTTGACACATCTGTGAAAGTTCAAAGTCGATCTTGACCACAGAGGAGAATTACAACCAAAAGCGTAGAAGACTTTTTTTAAGGCAAAATGTGAGTCGAAATGAAAGCCGAATAAACCTCGAAAGAATGCTCCTTGTTTTCTTCAATGCGATAATCGAGCAACGTATTCAGCGTGACAATTTTGCAATCAAATTTCCCACTTTTGGCTGTACGATTCGGATAAATCAGGATACCTGTCTCGCTTGGCAGTGTGAAATGGCGTTCCAGCGCCAATTTCCTGTCTTTCTTTTCTTTTTCCTAAAAACTGCATTAATCAACCACTGCATCAATGAAAAATTGGTAATTTTTAATCCCAAGCATTTCTGAAATCAACTAAAACAAAGCTTCCTGAGG